CGGTTTCAACGAACATAGTGCTGCGCTACAGTCACGGGCGTACCCCAACAGTTTACGGAAAGCATTATTATAACTGACCCGAAGGGCATTAACGGTAGATTTTCTATACATACACCATAATTGGCAGCAATACAAACTAGAACAGAATGTTTTAAATAGCAAAAGTTTGACTTCGTTGCTACAGTTCTTAAATTTACGTAGCATAATGTTTGCCCTCACACAGAATAAACGTTTCTGACAATCAATGTCCGCATCGTCTTTCAGGTCACGAGCTATTTTATGTCCTAGATAATTAAACTGGTCAACAAAGTCAACATTATTATTATATAAATACAGTGGAGGGCAAATGTCCATGCAATTACGACCATAGAAATGCATAGATTTAGACTTGGTTGAGTTGGAGATAATGTCATGCTCTTCAGCGTATAACTCACAATTATGTAACATTTTGCGCAAACCTTTAATAGAGGGCGCAATTACACACATATCATCTGCGTAGCTCAAATTGTTTATAATTTTATCGCCAATAAGACAGCCACAAGGCATGCTATTGAGTGATACACTGAGATTATCCATATAAATACTAAACAGTGCTGGGGACATTACTCCTCCCTGTCGAACTCCATTGGAAACATTAAAAAATTGTGAGATAGTACTTCCCCATCTAACACAGTACAAAGGAGATGTATTCATTGAAGTCTATTGGGACCGCTGCTCAACTGCCACTATATGTACCGCTCTCTAAAAACAGATTTACAATGAACCAACATATTTACATACTGTAAGAAACTTGGTGGTATGCCATTGGTTAGTGCATTTAATTTGTTTGATGCAATCATTGTGCCAGCTATTTCTTATGGTAGCGATATGAGGGTACAAAAATTCGGAAATCGAGAGGGCACAGACAACATTTTGCAGATATCTACTTAGCGATAATAGTTGTACTAACAATGTAGCGATGTTGGGTGAATGTGGAAGGCTGCAATTATGCTGTGGTTATTTTAAGCGTTGTATCTCATATTGGTTAAAATTAGTTGAAGTAAAAAATAGCTGGAACCCCAAAACATGTTATATCTTGCTTAAACGATTAGACAAAACCGACAGACTTACTTGGGATACCCACATAAAAATCGCCTGTTCAAATATGGTTTCGGCATTGTCTGCTTTGAAAAACAAGTTGGAGATACTGCAAATTTCCTAGAGATATTTACTAAAAGAATAAAAACAATTTGTCAGCAAGAATGGCATGCCTCAATTTCACAATCATCCAGGCTGTGTACTTTAGGAAAAATCAAAGTAGTATTATAACCTGGGGGATTTATTGGCAAGCAATTATATACTAAAATATATACTGACGAGTTTTCGCTGTTTTTGCCATAAACATAATGTTGAATTAGGTAATCACACAAAAATATAGTTAGATCAATACATTTTTAGTTTTTGTAGTGATATGCTTGAATTTAGCATGGTAGAAAATGAAATTCACTTTGTTTTTATATGTCCTTTTTAAATGATATAAGGGTTGATCTTTTGTCAAATAATGCAATATGCAATTTTGCAAATACTGATAGTCTGGGCTTACTTTGTCGCTACACAAACTGTCACACTATATATCAATCAACTAGTTCTGTATCTTTTAAAAGTTTTCAAGCGACGAGATGAATAATAACCCCGCTTAACTTAGTACCATATGTTTACATGGATGTTGTATTGTCTTTTTTTAAAACGTGCTATGGACTTTTCTACTCATTACATTTTGTACGATGGGCTGAGGCCCTGTACAGAAATAAAATTACATAATACAAAATTTACTAATACTAAAATGAATAATTGTAGACAGATTTCGACATGAAATCGTGTCACTTTTATGTGCGCTAACATCTGCGAAGAGCGAAAAAACTCGTGAGTAGCATTCTACCTTAAAATGCTTAGACAATAATGCTAAGATACGTATAGTCTTTTCTTTTTTGTATACAACGTTTTGCCGTAGTGGATCTAGGGTGTGGGCGCGTTTGTCTGTGAGTGGGGAATGGCTCAGGACCCCTTCTCTAAAATCATATGGTAAAATAGTTCAAAGACGTTATGTGAAATAACTTACCAACGTAACACAAAGTAAACCAATTGAATTTAAAAAATGTCTGTAACAGAGCTCAAAGACACTTTTTTAATATTATAAAATGCACACGTTTCACGTCAAATATATTATTTTTGTTTTCGAACCCCCTATTCAAAAGTGCTGGCTACGGGCCTGATGGGCAAGAGTCCAAGATT